AAGAAGACAGCCCCAAACACCTGAATTAGCCATACCTCAATGAACTGAATCAAATTACACTTTAGTGCCTGAGAAGCAACTAGAATCAAACAACAAATTTGCAATTACAGGTAAAATGCCGTCACTTATGCTTTCAGAAGAAGCCAGAGAAATATATCTCTGACTTCCTGAGAGTGCTGTTTGTTACAGTCCATTTCTTAAGATTAAAAAAATGATGAAATTTCAGGTAAAAGAGAGATTTCAGGTTATTTCAGGCTTCTTGTTCAGGATGAAATATGTAAACAATGTTTTTGTTTTCTTCTACAACTCAAGTAGTGATAATTCTGTTCTAAATACACGTTTGAGAAGTTTATATCAGAAGAGTGTAAAAAAGTCGCATGAAAGTTCTCTCTTAAAAAAAATCTATTAGTAAGTCCTGGCAAAAAAGCTGGAATTGTATGAAGGAAAATTGCTCATCACACTACAAAGAGTATTTGAAACCAAATTGCAGAGTATTTGCATAATAATTCTCTTTTTTTCAAGAAAGAAAAAATGAACGAGACACTAATTGTAGGTTTTATTTTTTCATAAAGGAAATAGCAGATGGCTTTTTGGGGGGATAGAGAAATAGATTAAAAAAAATAGACAATGTGGACTCATTTAGAGTGATGAGTGGGATGGAAAGGGAAAAACTTCCAATATTTTAATAATAGAGTGTTGGGTTTCAATAAATTACTCTGTGTTAAAATTAATAATGTCCTCTGTTATGTATCTTGTGTGGTCCTATGGATGGAAGTTTTGGCATCTTCGCTGCTGTAACTAGAAAATGTCACTATGGCCACTGGAGTAAATACAAATGGACAGAGGCATTATCTATTTTTCCAAAAATAAAATTATTCTCCATTTTTTAAAAATTTTTATTTCATATCATTTTTTTCTTGGAGGTGAGTTAAAGGATTTTCTCATTGGACAGGGGGAAAGATGTAACAGGTGCTACACTGAAAACTGAAGCAAGGAAATTTTTCTTTATAATGAGATCTGCTTTGTATAAGGACATTTTTTTTGAAACCACCAAGGGACAACCAGGGTGTTGAGCAAAAGCTCTGAAGCATGTGTACCATTATTCTCTAGCATACGCTATTCGTTTCTCTATTTCTGTCTGAAAGGAAGACATTTCTGTACATTAATAAAAGTGAGCAATACCATTTCCCACATTAAGGTATAATTTTGCTCAGGCTTCAGATGTTTATACCTTGCCACTTAAACTTGTTTTCTCACTCATGTTGGTTAGTGGTTTCACAAAAAGAAAAAAGAAAAAACAGAAACACATATGGCCAGTGAAAACTTATGGGCAATTCTGTTTTTAAAAAAATGTTAACGTCAGCCAAACTTTCACTGTTTCATTATGTCTATGGATCATTAATTCAATTACTCCAGCTGAAAATGGGGAAAATCTCATTGTATCAAGGATAAGGAAGATAAAAAGGGGGATAGAGAAAAAGAAAAGATAGACAATTAATGTAGACATGTAAAACTGTGCTTAATGCAGATTTGTGAATGCCTGAAATGAATGGCTCTCTTAAAGATAGTGAGGGTGATGGTGATGAAGAAAACAAAGAAGATAATGATGATGGCAGTGATGAAAAATGAAATAAAATTATTGGTCCATAATAATGTTTTACAAACCTGTTTTGCTGCAGATGGTACCCAGATAATAAAATAAATGAAATCTCCATCTGTTCCCTCATGTCTAGAATAAATAATAATTTATTTGTGCGAGCAGCGAGCAGCAATTAGACAGGCTGAATTAATATGCCATCAGTTTAAGTTTGTTCACATTGCTCAGAGGCCTCAGCACTCTTTTCCAATTTCTGGTATTATTTCTGTGGACTTGACCATCAAGATAAGGATTCTTCCAACTTTAAGAGTCATCCATTTTCTCTCTCCATTCCACATCATTCACCCATTGGGTGACCAGATCTTAAATTTAATAGTGCTACACAATGAAGAACTTTGTGAATGATTTTATACAAGGTAGAATTCTACTTTCTGACTGTATTTTCTACCTGCTCCTTGATACACTGAATTTTTCTCCATCCTTACCGTGCTTTTCTCTCTTTGTTACTCTGTAAAATGTACTCTTATGTCATCTATATTGTCCCTTTAATCATTTTACCAGTGTTTAATTCTCATACAACTTCAGCCTCACTTTATATTGTCCCCTTTATTGGATCTACGAATATGTTTAGGTGCTTCATATTGTAAAAATGAAAGTTCCTTCAGTTTTGCCATTTCTCTACTCTGGGAATATCGCTATTCTCACCTTGCTTCTTTGTTCATTTTGTAGTCTTTCGCTCCTTAGGGTTCTAGTTTTTCTGCAACTTCCTGCACTCCAAAACTATTCGAATTAGTCTTGAAAAAGTCAAAAGTCATCAATGACCTCCTACTCACCAGTCAACAGGTTTATTCTCTCATTCGTACATTTTCCTGACCTTCTGTACTATTTTGCTTCACTGAACATCCTTCATCTTGAAAATCCCACTCTGTCTGAAGTTAGCATTTTATTCTATCCTAAATCTTCAGTCTCTCTGAGTAGTCTTATTACAATTATTGGCACCTGTTTTTCCCTCCCATACCTTAAATGTGAGACTACTACCATGGCTTTGTCCCTAATATTGTCTGCTTTTCTCTATAATCTTCTACAACCATATATCTTATAACTTCAAGAAATATGACATAGTTATCAAAAACATGGAATGAACTTCAAAACATTGTGGTTTTTCATGATTTGATTTAGTTTGAAGGTGTTTAAATAACATTGGTATTTACAAGGTAGGAAATAAAATCCATTAGCGTCATATTCAAAATATCTGTCTGAAATATCCCCAACATGAGAATTATGCTGTGCTTATATTCCAAGCTTTCTTTCCCACTCCTGTAACTTCAACTGTCATCCTTAAGCAAGAACTAATAGAACTTTATATATGTATACCTTCCATATCATAGCACCTAATCCAGTCTTATGAAAGGTATTTGCTAAGTATCTTCCATCTTTAATGACTTCTCTGAAAGTAGTAATATTGGTTGATCATATGCATTAGTCCATTACCAAATTCTTATTCAGTGTATGGCTCATAGTAAAACAGCAATACAATTTTACTAATAATTGAACATAATCTTTATTATATTCCCCCCTTTCCATTCTACCTCATCCTAGGTGTCAACTGACATTTCAAATGTCTCTAGTCACCTTGACATAGATATCCTACTGGGCCTCGAATTTAAGACATAAAGTAAATTTCTCCATAAGAGCTTGTTTGCTAACTTTATTAATTTTTTTGTAAAGTTCAGAAACATTTTATAATTTGACTTTAAAATCTTAGATTCATATTTGGCATTCTCTTTTTAACTGTTTTCCATTCTATGCCATATCTAATATTTTGCCAAGTCCTAATTATTGCTTATTACAATGTAGCTCAAATGAATATCCTTTCGTGTATTTTCATTCTGAGCCCTACTTAAGTGCAGACTTATATCAGTACTGCAAAAAGAATGCTGATTTTTTCATTAACTGCAGTGTGTTTTTGCTGTAACCTATAAGAAAATCTGGCAGTTTTTGTTGTGTTTTATAGAGAGACTTGCATGCACCCAACAAACATTTGTTAAGTTAAATTTGATATTTTGAAAACTGCAATACAATTTGTAATAAAGAAGCTTAAACTATGCTCCCAGCTATGACACTAATGATCTGTGTGATTGGTCTCCATATTTCCCTTTACTTTGCCAGATCCAGTCTCCGTCTTTCTCCACTTTGCCCAGTAAAACTAACCCAAATGGATCACAACAGGCTACCTTGCCCCCTGGCTTTCATTTGGGTTTAGCTAATGAAAAGCAACAGCAGAAAACTGAAAAGAGAACAAGGTTGATTTTTATACCTTACTCTCTACTTTTCTGCATCCCTCTACCAAAGGCCACACTGCTGTCAGTTCTAGATAAACTTTCCCTTGCTCCTTCAGGCTTAGAAGTTCTGTTACTAGTCTTAAGATACTTCAATAGTCCCTGCTGT